AGAGATCCACCTGGCTCTGCCTCCCGAGTACTGGGATTAAAGGCATATGCCACCACCGCCTGGCTTATTAAATTTTAAATGATATTGCTATTCTTGACAACGTGTGCCCATGTTTATCACCTTTTAGTTTTGAAAAGACAGGATGTTTCTGCCTCAGTATTTGGCCAAGCTAGCAAAACGATAAGTACTGTTTTTGGTTTAAAGATGTTTTGATGTTAAAGTTGTGAGAAAACATATTTGACCTATTTGTTTTTGGCAGAGGTTAACGTTGGAGGATGGGAAAAACTTGTTTGTTAGTGTGGACAAACGTGCTTGTTTTGATGTATAAGTAAAGACCGCTGGAGCTATTCAGGGCACAGACAAATCATTTCTTTGCACAGATGCCCCTTCCCGGTCTCAGGACCTGAACCCGGGCTGCGGTGTTTGTTTGTACCAGGATCTACGGTAGCCCAGGCTGGCCTTGAACTTCTGATCCTTTTGCCTCCTGCTGATCATCACAGAGACACACCATCATAGGCAGTTTTTATTTTGTTTTTTTGAAAAGCAAAGTGGAGTTGTATACCTAACTACAATCAGAAGAACATATTTTTCTCTCTTTAGTGATGAATTTTGGTTGCTTATTGCCTAGATACATTAACTTACCAGAAGTTTTAAAATGCAGGTATTACAATTATGTTATGGTAGCTTTATTTTTCATTTATTTATTTTTGAGATAGCATCTCAAAAATAGTTATTTTTAACATATAGTAAATACTTAGATTTGCCAGAAATCTACTTCTGGGTTTAGTAGCCTAGCAGCCTAGGCCTGCCTGGAGCTCTTCAGCACCTCATGGGTTGGGACTAAAGGTGGATGTCCCCACGCAGTGCATCATCGTTTATTTTCTGTTTCTAGCAATTTCCCATTATCTTAAGATATGGTTTCCATAAGAAAAACAGGATAAAGCTAGGAATGGTGGCCCACACCTGGCATTCAGGCACGTGGGAGGTGGACAGGGGATCACCCTAGGCTACATTTTGAGTTGGACACTAACCTTTGAAACTTTGTATTAAAAAAACCCAAAAAACCAAAGAGGGCTGGTGTGAGGTTCGGTCGGCACTGGTGCTGCCAAGCCTGGCAATCTTTCTTGGATCTCCTGGACCCACATAGTGGACCTGGTCCGGCCAGTTGTCCTGTGACTTCCACTCATGGTTCAAAACCCCAGCATTAGCTGCCTCTAATTACAGCACCCCGGAAGTTAAGGCAGGAGGATTACAAGTTTCAGGCCAGTCTGGGGTCTATAGTGAGACTCTGTTTCAAACAAAACAAAAACCCACCATTATTACTTAATTTAAAAATAAGATTTTTACAGCCAAATATGGTAGTGCACACCTTTAATCTCAGCACTCAGGAGGCAGAGGCAGGCTGATCTCTGAGCTCGAGGCCAGCCTGGTCTACAGAGTGAGTTCCAGGACAGGCAGGGCTACTCAGAGAAACCCTGTCTCAAAAAAGATTTTATTGTTTATGTGTGTCTATGTAGGGGTTCAAGTGGTCCCCAAGGAGGCCAAAAGAAAGCACTGACTCCCCTTGAGCCACCTGATGTCAGTGCTGGGGACCAAACTCAGGTTCTCTGAAGAAGCAGTATGTGCCCTCAACTGTGGAGCCGAATCTCCATCCTCCATTCATCTTTTTAATTCCACAACTCACTCAGAACAGTTCCAGAATAATGCCAACACTACTGTCAATGATAATGAGTACTTTAAAATACTTTTGCAGTAGCTGGGCACAGTGGCCTATGCCTATAATCCCAGCACCATCAGCATGATTGCGTCTATCTTGAGACATACCTGGTCAACACAGTGAGTTCTAGGCCAGCCCAGGACTGTGCATGTAACAACACCATTTCAAAATAACAATGATTTTCTTTAAAAAAAAATACTTACTTAAAAAACTTTATGTCTATGTGTGTGTGAGCTAGAGTGTATGTATGTGTACATGTGTGTGCAGAAGCCGTCAGAGGTCAGCCAAGAGCGTTGGATCCCCTGGAACTGGAGTTAGTTAGTCATGAGCTGTAACGCAGGTGCTGGAAACGGAACCCAGGTCCTCCGTAGGAGCAGCAAGTGCTCTTAACCACTGAACCATCTCTCCAGCCTCAAAAAAAAAAAAAAAGATTTTTTTTGTACTTACTTTTGGTTTTAGAGTATGTGCCACGTTACATATTACAGACTAATCATTATGTCTCAAAGCCACTTGATTAGTTTAGTGGGGGGTGTTTTATAGACAAAAAGTTCTTGTGATGTAGGCTTGTGAGGTGGCTCAGCAGGTACAGGGACCTGCTACCAAACTGGGACCCACATTGTGGGAGGGGAGCTGACTCCTGTAAGGTGTTTTCTGACCTCTACATGGGTACACACAGACACAGACACACACACACACACAGACACACACACACACACACACACACACACACACACACAGATGCACACACACACACAGATGTACACACACAGACACAGACAAATGCACACACACACACACACACACACACACACAGAGGGAGGGTACTAAAAAGTCATGGTATGTTCTTCCATAGTTGAGAAAAAAACTAAATTGATTATAAAAACATGCCCGCATGTTCCCACCCCTTCTCTCTTGTGGACTGTGTGTTTGTATGCGTACCTGGACCTGCAGGCTGGACTGGGTATAGGGTTGCCAGGGCCTCCAGCCCTGGTGACCCCATTTGTAAGCAGTCCTGTGCAGCTTTTCCTTGGCTGAGGGGTGGTGACCGCAGAAACGCCCAGGTGCAAAAACAGGACATGAATAGATTCCTTGGTTCTATTCATATCTTCAGAAAGTCAGACTCTTTCTACGGAAGTATATTCCTGACTCTCTTCTCTCCCCGTTCATCCTCCCAACTCCCCTTCCCCATGGATCCGTGGTCTTCAGAAACGTCTGCTCTGATCCTTCGCCTCTGTTACTGTCCCCCGACTCCTTGCTCTGCCTCCGTTATTGTGTCCCCACAGCCCCCCCACCCCAACACACACAACCCAGAAACTTGTGACTTGTGTGTGTATTGATGAGGGGGAGGGAGGGGGGATTGTTGCACAAACTAGCATCATGGAAACGGTGGAGATGGGATAGACAGCTGCAGAGATCCGAGCCGGACAGACTGAATAAACCCTCCTCCCAAACAACTGTGCTCTCGGATTTCTTCTCTGGACAGCTGGGCCTTTCGGCTTCTGAAATACTTGGCAGAGATGGGGGAGGGTCTCTGAACTGTGCTTGCTGTCCATCTTCAAAGCCAAACACCTCTACATACCATACATGGAAACCCAATGGGTTACTCGGTACAGCAAGGATGAGAGCAATAAATGAGAGGCATTTCCTGCCATTTTTGAGGGCCAGGAGCTCCTTACTGAGAATGCGGGAGGACCGGAGTGGTACCGAGGGTAGACCATACAAGCTGGACGTGGATATCTGACTTGGCTGTTTCTTATTCCCTCCCTCCCTTGGTACCCAGCATTCCATATCCCATCCATTCTGCTTATCATAAATACTCCCTGCCTTCACTCCTGCACCCTACTGCCACCGATGTCCCTGGAATTTTGGACTTAGCTATTTTTAAAACTGTCAACTCAGTAGCCACCTCCCTTCTCCTCTCAGCTGTCCAGGGCTCGGGCCAGCCATATACTCTCCCTTCCCCCTCCCCCCACACCAAACCTTCTCCGGCTCTCTGACCTCGGTGAGACTGCAGCCAGTCTGGGGAACTGGGAGAGACATGGAGAAAGAGATGGGGGACCCCTGGCTGCAGCAGACCAACAGAATAGGCGACTGTGGCTGGAGAATCGGGTATCAGAGTAATGTTTGACCTCGGGAAACAGTAAGTCCAGACGAAACTGCAATTGCTTTGATAAGCGTTTGGGTTGAGGCTAGAATTTCATAAAATTACAGACATCTGTTCTGAAAACTAAGATTTCTCCTTAGCAAGTACCCCATTGCCACTCCTCCTGCCTCATGGTTTTGGTTTCCAAGCCATGTCTACTTGAAGCTTAATGAGGCCTCTTCTCCGGCCCTCTTACTGTTCTGCACTAAGCCTTTTGGGGTGTGGGGTGTGGGGTGTGGGGACAGTGCTGAGGACTGAACCCGGGGCCTTGAGCATGGTAAACACTCATCTACCACTAAATTACACTCCCAGCCCCCACCTCAAGACCTCTCAGACCTCCTGCAGGACTCTTTCCCAACTCACAGACTTACTCCAAAGAGGGGCCAGGAGAAAGGGAGACAGACCCTCTCCAATATCTGTCCCCCTCAAAAGGCCAGGAACTTCTGGATTTGCAAAGGGGGGGTAGATAATAAAAGAGTTGCTCTTCAGGCAGTCTTGACAAACACACGGACTGTTGGTTGATCAGGCAAAAACAAATATTAATCTGAATGCTTCGTTTGTGTCCTGTCCTGTGAGAGAGGGACCATAAGTCCAGCCCTCTGGAGCGGCTAAGAGACTGGCTCCCTTTTCATTGGAAATGTGACATTCTAGAAGGCACTGGTCTACAGTGTTTGCCCTCTGTGCCCTTCTAAGACGATGAAGAAGAAGAAGTGGCGGGTGGTTGAGATGATCAGGACCTCACTTTCCCCAGGAATTCCTCCATTTCTGACACATCTGCTATTCGGTAGTCGGGATGGGGCAATACAGTGGACTCTGTCCCCTGAGGTCATTCACCCTTCCCTCCACCCCCGTCCAGCGGTGTTGCACAAGGGACCTGAAGGTGACAGGGCCCAGAGGCTCACCAGCCACACTCACCTCACATCTGGAAGCCTCCAACTTCCTGAGCTCGCCTGTGTAATTCTTGTCTTGATCTCCCCAGATTCTCTCCACACCACCTTGACCCGTCTTCAGCCCTTCTCTTCCCCCAAACCCAGTCAAATTTCTTTTTTCCAGTCACAGAACTGCCGGTCGAAACTCACTAGGTGGGAGGTTCATCAGCTGGGAAGAATCGGCGCCTGGGGGGGATCTGGCTGGATAGGCATGGGGGATCGAGGCCAAGCCCCTAGTCCCCGGTCCCCCCATGGCAGCCCCCCAGCTCTAAGCACCCTCACTCTCCTGCTGCTCCTCTGTGGACAGGGTAAGGAAGGGCCAGGAAGGGTTGGGCACATCTAGAGGATAGGCTGCCGGGTAGGGGTGGGCATGTGAGCACGTGTGAGTGAGGGGGGGGGTGAGTGCTAAGCCCCAGTCGCTCGCCAACGCTGAAAGAGGCCTGTCTTGTTTCCCATTTAACCGGAGGAAGGCTACAGATGGAGTCCTTGGACCCCAGAGATAAGAGGTCTGACTGGCTTACACGATTTTTAGTATAGAAAACGAGGGAGCCGGGCGGCGGTGGCGCACGCCTTTGATCCCAGCACTCGGGAAGCCGAGCCCGGTGGATCTCTGTGAGTTCGAGGCCATCCTGGTCTACAGAGCGAGCTCCAGGAAAGGCACCAAAACTACACAGTGAAACCCTGTCTTGAAGAAGGAGGCGAGGAGTAGGAGGCTGAAGGTTGGGGCTGGGAAAGCGCCCACCAGAGTGGTAGGAATGTCTGGGATGAAGGATGCCTTTTGGCAGTTCGGCGCGTCCTGGACTTGGGTAGAACCTGAGTCTGGGCACCGTCTCACTGTCCTCTCCCTTCCGTCCTCAGCTCACTCCCAGTGCAAGATCCTCCGCTGCAATGCCGAGTACGTCTCGTCCACTCTGAGCCTTCGGGAAGGGGGCTCATCGGGCTCGCCGCGTGGAGGCGGCCGTGGTGGGCTGGCCTCGGGTGGCTTGTGTCGCGCCCTGCGCTCCTATGCGCTCTGCACTCGGCGCACGGCCCGCACCTGCCGCGGGGACCTCGCCTTCCACTCGGCGGTGCACGGCATCGAGGACCTCATGATCCAGCACAACTGCTCCCGCCAGGGCCCCACGGCCCCGCCCCCGGCCCGGGGCCCCGCCCTTCCCGGAGCTGGCCCCGCCCCCCCGGCCCCGGACCCCTGCGACTACGAGGCCCGGTTTTCCCGGCTGCACGGACGGGCCCCGGGCTTCCTGCATTGCGCCTCCTTCGGGGACCCCCACGTGCGCAGCTTCCACCACCACTTTCACACATGCCGTGTCCAAGGAGCCTGGCCCCTGCTGGATAACGACTTCCTTTTTGTCCAGGCCACCAGCTCCCCCGTGGCATCGGGGGCCAACGCTACCACCACCCGGAAGGTCAGGGATTCCGTTTTCCTCCTAGCCCACTTTCTGAAGTCCTCTCGCGGTCCACTCGTCGTACCACTCCTGGGGCTCTAGCCGTAGATATCCACCCAGCCCCTGGTTCCTCCTCTTCCCCAAACATGCCCTCCCATCCTGAATGGCTTTCCTCCTATCAAGCATTGGCTCTTGTAAATCAGTTCCTCTCGATAGGAATGTTATTCAAATGCAGGTAACACTGAAGACGAAGCTTCAGGGGTGGCAGCCAGGACTAGCAGAGCTGAGGAGTCAGAAGGGACATTTTATTTTCGTTGGGAGTTGCTGAGATTGAGACCAAAAAAAAAAAAAAAATTGAACGAGGGGTTGAATAGGGGTCAGGAACTATTGGAAGGCAATGGGGGATGGGATGAAGGACGAGGACCCTGAAGACACCCTGCATCTGCTGGAGTCAGATCCCTGACAGTATATGCTGCTAGACTCGGGGGAGGGCGCACTAAGCCCTAATAAACTATTTTCCCTTTTGCCCGCACAGATCACCGTCATATTTAAGAACATGCAGGAATGCATTGACCAGAAGGTCTACCAGGCCGAGGTGGACAATCTTCCTGCGGCCTTTGAAGACGGCTCTGTCAACGGAGGCGACAGACCCGGGGGCTCGAGTCTGTCCGTTCGGACTGCTAACCCCGGGAGCCATGTGGAGATCCGAGCCGCCTACATTGGGACGACTATAATCATTCGACAGACAGCTGGACAGCTCTCCTTCTCCATCAGGGTCGCCGAGGACGTGGCGCGGGCCTTCTCCGCTGAGCAGGACCTACAGCTGTGTGTCGGGGGATGCCCGCCGAGTCAGCGACTCTCTCGCTCGGAGCGCAACCGGCGCGGGGCTATAGCCGTAGACACTGCCAGAAGGCTGTGTAAGGAGGGCCTTCCCGTTGAAGACGCCTACTTCCAATCCTGCGTCTTTGATGTTTCAGTCTCTGGTGACCCCAACTTTACTGTGGCAGCCCAGACAGCTCTGGATGATGCCCGAGTCTTCTTGCCGGATTTAGAGAAATTACATCTTTTCCCCTCAGATGCGGGGCCTCCTCTCTCCCCAGCCACCTTCCTACTGCCGTTTCTTTCAGGCCCCTTTGTTCTGTGGCTTGGCATTCAGTAAGTAGGCCAGCAGCCCCGTGACTAGCTTGGAAATGATCTGAGGGTGGAGGTTGGTGTGAGAAGACACAAAGATGTGCGGAAGGAAATTAGTGGGGACGGGGAGATACAGGAGACAGTGACAGCCCCCTGGAGTCAGATGAGGCTGTAATCCAGGGCTGAAATGATCCTAGAACAAGGATTCTGGGCCAGGGTTTTGCATTCCAGGCCTTGGTAGGGGGTCTTCACCATGAATTTCCCGGTCCCGTCTGTAGTAAGCTGATTATTCCACTCCACATACACCTGGTGTCACTCCTGCAAGCCTAGAGACTGTAGAGTGCTAATGGCCAGCAAAACATTGAAGGGCTGAGCGCTCTTAAAGGTGAGAGCTAAGAAAAGGAAGACGTGATTATCTATAAGAAAGTGGAAAGAGGAGAAAATAATTAGGGGAAGTTTTTGGGTTCAGAAATGAAGCAGGCATTGTCTAGCTCTCAGACAAGGGAAGTCAGCTTTTGGAGACTAGTGCCAATACAGAAACTGGCATCCCCACCCCTTACTAATCCATTATTAAAGCTCTAAATTCCCCACACTGTCCTCTGTCACCTGTGTTGAATCCCCTTACAGATGTGTGACATGGAATTGAGACAATGTGTTCACTTCCACTGAAAGAAGTCTCAGAGTTCTCAGCCATTGGATCTGCCCTTTTGGAGTTCACAGGTTATTATGAGACAAAACTGATTCACAGGAGGGAATCATGAGTAGTAGTATTATTTATTATTATCATCATTTGTTTTTTTTATTTTCCATGGAGCCTCATGTAGCCCAGGCTGGCCTCGAACTGCTGGTCTGACTGTCCGTACTCCTCAAGGGCTGGAGCTGAAGTGCACCTATGTCCCGGAGCGTGTAATTCCTCACCCAATTCTATGGCCTTTGGATTCATGTGGGGAGATGGTGGTTGAGAACCAGAGTACTGAGCAGTAATGAAAGACACAGAGACGGCATGTGAGCTGTGCAGGGTCTGAACAGTTCAGGGCTTTGCAGGAAGTGAAAACCGTGGGGAGTTATCCACAGAGTCACCAGTAGCGAGGAAACGAGTGGAACTCAGAGGACAAGCATGGAGTCACGAGAGAGAAGGCCTAGATAGGCTGAAGGAATTACAGAGCGCCACGGGAGTGGGGCCGCAGAGTTCAAACTGATCACGAACATTTATTTAGAACTTAAAATCTGCCAGGCAATGTTATCAACACTTAAAAAAAATGTGCAATAGGGACTGGAGAGATGGCTCAGTGATTAAGAGCACTAACTGCTCTTCCAAAGGTCCTGAGTTCTGTTCCTAGCAACCACATGGTGGCTCACAACCACCCATAATGAGATCTGGTGCCCTCTTCTGGCCTGCAGGGATACATGCAGGCAGAATACTGTATACATAATAATAAAAATAAATAAATCTTAAAAAGAAAAAAGAAAAAATGTGCAATAAAGTTATAAACACATCAAAGATGTATGGAGCTGGAGAGATGGCTCAGCAGTTGAGAGAACTTTCTGTTCTTACAGAGAGCTCAGATTCTGTTCCCACCCACAGTGCTAACAATGGCCTACGACTCCAGCTCCAGGGCATCTGACATATGTTCAGGCCTCCTTAGCACATGGTGCACACAAATTCATGCAGGCACACACATACACATACATTTTTTAAGATCTTAAATATGTATTTATGCATTAAGGACTAGGCAGTAGCTCAGTAATAGAGCACTGGAGGAGCAGGCACAAGGGCCTGGGTTTGATCGCTAGTACTGCAAAATAATAATAACAATAATAACAATTCTTTTAGCTTTCTGTGGTGGCACATTCCAGTAATCTCAGCACTCAGAAAGTGGAAGCAGAAGGATCGGGAGTTCAAGGTCATCCTTAGCTATATAGGAAGTTCAAAGCCAGCCTGGGCTATGTGAAATCCTGTTTCAACCTTCCTTCTCAAAACTAAACTAAGTAATGGTGCTTATTATTCATAACTCTCTAAGAAAGACAGTATTCTTCTATCTGTATTTATCACTCCATACACAGACAGAAATGGAGCGATCAAAGGCATGCACCATCACACCCAGCTCAGAAACCTAACTCTTAACCACTCCAGCATATTGCTGAGGAGACAGAGTAATGAAGGATTGTGATTGTGGACCCAGGTCGGCAGACCCCAAAGGTTTGGGGTCTCAAGTGGGCACCCCAAGAACCCAAACTCCAGTCCAATTGGTGCAACAGCACAAGGTTTTTATTGAAGCGACTGTACAGACGGGCAAACTCTGCTCCTAAGACCATGAGCCGCATCTTACTGCAGCCACATGGGGGTTTTTAAAGGAAAAACCCACAAAAACCACAAGATTACAATTCCCATACAATTTCGTTTCACAAGATCATGGTCTGATCACAGAGTGGGTACAGTCACGTCCACATGCACATTCTTCCTGAAACCTCAAGGAGGGTACCAGGGCGGGAGTGGAGTTTACACAAAGGTCACAGTGGTCCTTCCTGGAACACTTGCAACTATCCCAGTCACAGTTGAGCACATCTCTTAACAGAAATCTTTTTACATTGTTACATTGTTACAGGGGTGATTGAGTGATGGCTGAGTCAGCTTGCCCTTGGAACTAGATTTTTAGTTTCTCATTTCCTGGGGCTTTGGGGGTGTAAGCCTGAAGGGTTAGGGTCTTTTAGGCAGAGCAGGACTGAGGCTGTGGATGCCACTATAAAAGCTCCCTTCTGGCCAGGCAGTGGTGCTGCGCGCCTTTAATCCCAGCCCTTGGAAGGCAGAGGCAGGCAGATCTCTGCGAGTTTGAGGCCAGCCTGGTCTACAAAGAGTTCTAGGACAGCCACAGTTACACAGAGAAACCCTGTCTCGAAAAAACAAAACAAAACAAAATGTGCCCTCCTTTTCTCAAGTGTTGGGAAAGGTAAACAAGCCCAAAGTAATCCAGTTTGTAGAGGAGAGACTAAGGAGAGAGGGTACGCTCTTTGGGGTACTAACCAAATAGGAAGGTGATGATTCCACACTTAGTGTCTCAGCCCTCCCCTTCAGGTACCCCACGGTCTGGGGTCTCCTCTCTCTGACCTGCTCACACATTTGCTGTCATCCTCTGTAGCTCTGGGTCCCACTCTCCTGGCAACACACCCCTGTGTGCCCGCATACGGCCTGCACACCCCTGTGTACCCGCATAAGATCTGGCCAGTGCTTACCCTGTCAGCCCTGGCCTCACAAACGTCTTCTGCATTTTAAATCTCTTTTGGAACAGGGTCTCCTGGCCCAGACTGGCCTGGAACTCTGTGTAGCCCAGGATAGCTTTGTCCTCCTGATCCTCCTGTCTCTGACTCCGGAGTGATGGTGTGAACACCATGCCTGGATCTTCTGCAGAGTTCATCCAGTCTTCGACTCCTCCCTAGAAACTCTGCCCATTCCCTCAAGTCATGTGGGTTCTGGGGATTAACCCGAGGTCGTCGGGCTTGGCATCACGTGCCTTTATTGAGCCGTCTCAAAGGCCCCCACATACTCTTTTAAATTTAAATTTTTATATCCAGCTTTTTTGTTTTGATTTGCCTTGAGACAGGGTCTCACAATATTGACTAGGCTGGCCTCACACTCACAGAGATCCACTTATCTCTGTTGCCCAAGCACTGGGATTGAATGTGTGTGACACCTAGTGTCCTGTTTTGTTTTGGTTTTTTTTTATTGTTGTTGTTGTTTGTTTATTTTTTGTTTTTGTTTTGTCTTGTCAACTTGACACAATCTGGAGTTATCTGGGAAAAGGAACTTCAATTGAGAAAATGCCTCCACCAGCTATCCTGTATACAAGCCTGTAAGGCATTTTCTTGATTAATGATCAATGTGGGGGTGCCACCCCTGGGCTGTGGTCCTGAGGTGGAGAAGAAATCGGGCTGAGCAAACCATGCAGGGCACCAACTGCAGCCCCCAGGTCCCTTCCTGATTCTGCTCTGACTTCCCTTGGTGACAGAGTGTGTCCTGGAAACTGGAAACTGCAACAAAGCCTTCCCTTCCTAAGTTGTTCTTGATCATGGTGTCTATCACAGCAACAGAAACCTTACTGAGCCTACCCAGCCTTTTCAAAGATTCATTTCTATTATTTCTAACTATGTGCATGTGTGTCTCTGTGCAGGTATGTGCATGTGAATGCAGGGTTAGTTAGATCTCCCTGGACTGGAGTTACAGGCAATAAATAATGAGTCTCCTGACATGGGTGCTAGGGATCGAACTGTCCTCTGGGAGATCTGAATGTGCTCCCTCCCCAGCCTTTTTGTTTTTAGATTTATTTATTTTTATTTTTATGTGGGTGGGTGTGTTGCCTGCACGTTTGTCTGTGCACTGTGTGCATGCCTGGAGTCCTCGGAGGCCAAAAGAGGACATCGGATCTCCTGGAGCTTAAGTTACGGATGTTTGTGAGCTGCCTTGTGGGTGCCGGAAATCAAACATGGCTCATATGTAAGAACGGCATGTGCTCCTAACTGCTGATCCATCACTATTGGGATTATATCGTTAGCAATCCATGGAGTCTATTTAATGAGCAAAGGAATTCATTTGGGGGTTAACTCACAAGACAGATTATAAAGGAATTTGTTGCAGGATCTTGGCACGGTCCAGTGCTGTTCTCAGGTGAGCTCTGCCCTGGTCCGTTCCAGCCTCCAAAACCACGAGGTAGTGAAGAGAAGAGTGTTTTTGTGCATCCCAGGTCTTAAGGATCCCCCAGTGGCCACGCCCCAGGGGCATGTACCTCAAGGTCATAGGCAGGTGTAACAGTCACCTGCTACCTCACGGTGCTTCTGGGCATGGCTCAAACAGTCACCCACTACACATCTCTCCAACTCCATGCCCAGCTTGTTAAATGAGGATTTTTGGGAATCAAAATTCAGGAGCTCATGCTTGCATAGCAAACTAACATTTTATCATCCGGGCTCTCTCCAGCCCTTGGCAGGCATCCTTTAAAGTAAGCGTACACTCCAGGCATCATGGAATCTGACTACAATTCTAACATGTAGAGAGCAGAGGTGGGAGACTCACTACAAGCTCCAGGACAGACTAGTCTATGCACACAGGTAAACACGGAGTCCAGATCAGCCAGGGCTGTATAGTATGACCCTGAGGAGAGAGGGGAGAGAGGAAGAGGGTAAGGGGTGGGAGAGGGAAGGAGGGAGGGAGGGAGGGAGGGAGGGAGGGAGGGAGGGGTAAGAAGAGTTGAGGATGTACCTCAGTTGGTGGAGTGCCTGTTAGTGAGCATGACGTCCTGAGATCCATCCCTAGCTCTGCAGAAAATGACTTGGTGATACAATCCCAGCACTCGGGAGGCAGAGGCAGGCAGATCTCGTGACAACTTGTGAAAACTGCATTCCTGGAGCTCCCTGAACAGCTCACAGGCATTTTTCCAAAACAAGCCTGCTTTCCCTAGCCATTACTGTTGTTTACGTAACTCTCAGAAGGGGCCTTGTGCATCTGGACATTTCCCTTTTTCTTTTTAAAGATTGATTTATTTATTATGTATACAGCATTCTGTCTGCATGTACGCCTGCACGCCAGAAGAGGGCGCCAGATTTCATTGTAGATGGTTGTGAGCCACCAGGTAGTTGCTGGGAATTGAACTCAGGACCTCTAGAAGAGCAGACATCTATCTCTCCAGCCCATATCTGGACGTTTCTGAAGGGAAGTCCCACACCTTCCATTAGCTTCTGGAGCCTCCCTCCCCTCTCCAGAAGGAAATGTTTCAATTAGGAGGAAACTGCTAGAAACAACCATCAACAAGAAAGGGACAATCTGCTGACTATGTAGAACAGGACAATGACCTGGCAGCAGCATGAAATCATAGACTCCTGGGAACACATGGTAGCGTCTCTTCGTAATAGTGCACAGTGAAAGGAACCCGCAACAGTCTTGCTTTCTATTGCTAGAATGAAGTGCCCGCCGAGACTGGGTAACGTCACAAAGAAAAGAGGTTGATTTAACTCAGCTCCGGCACCGGCTGGGATCTGAGGAAGTCATAGCAGATGGTACCACAGCGGTGAGAGGGAGAGAGATGGAGAGATTGGAAGTTAGAGAAGTTCAAAGTCCAGGGTGGGTTCTTCCTTACAGCAAGCTGCTCTGGTGAGAAATGCCTCGGGACTCCTGAGAACTACCTCTATTCCTCCCACTGACCAAAAGCTGTCCACTAAGGTCCCTCTCTTACAAATCCCACCACTCAACACTGCCACAGTAAAGACCTTCAACACTTGAGGGGCAAACCGCATCAAAACCAGGCCAGAGAGCCGGGCCAGCTGTTCTGGAGGCTGAAGCCGGAGGAGCTCAAGTCCAAGGTCAACCTGGGCAACTTGGACTCAATAAATAAATTAATTAAATGGGGCCTGGCAGGCCAGCACGAGTCTATAATCCCAGCACTTGGGAGGATAACATGTCCATTGACAGCTGGGCTGCACAGAGTCATCTGGGGTAGGGGGATGCTATTACTATTTTCTTCCATTTATATAAAAACAGAAGATGCAAACTGACATATAATTAGAGATGATCAATGGATTCTTGGAGATGGCCAAAGAGAGGGAAAGAGGCAAGAAAACCTTGATGTGGTGATCATTTCGTGGACATACATATGCATATATCTACTTTTTTTTTGTTGTTTTTCAAGACATGATCTCAATATATAACTCTGGTTGTTTCTGGAACTCACTCTGTAAACCAGGCTGACCATGAACTCAGAGACCATGTCTGGCTGATGGACGTATGTATATATTAAAAGTCATATGGTTATATCCTGTCAGTGTGTGCAACTTATTTTTTTTTTCCGGAGCTGAGGACTGAACCCAGGGTCTTGTGCTTGCTAGGCTAGCGCTCTACCACTGAGCTAAATCCCCAACCCCAGTATGTGCAACTTATAAATTAAGCACGCCCAAATAAAGTTGCAACTTAAAAGTGGGGGGGGGGGGGCATGGTAGCCCACGCCTCTAACCCTAACACTCGGGAGGCAGAGGCAGGTGGATCTCTGAGGCATTCCAGGACAGCCAGGACTACACAGAGAACCCAAGTCTCGAAAAACAAACCAAAACCAACCAACCAACCAAAAAGGTGGTCCACATTTTCCCCTTCCTCTGGTGAAGGAGGTAAGAGACACAAATTTAACCCTGTGAGTAGTTCTGACGGGCCACTCCACAAACTGTCAGCAGGGGGCGCTTAGTGACTAAAAGTTACTCAAAGAAGAGCCCGGCAATTCTCCGGAGAGAGGAAACCCATTTCTTTTTTTCTTTGTTTTTCGAGACAGAGTTTCTCTGTATAGCCCTGGCTCTCCTGGAACTCACTCTGCAAACCAGGCTGACTTTGAACTCAAAGAGATTCACCCACCTCTGCCTCCTGAGCGCTGGGATTAAAGGCATGTGCCACCACCATCCGGTGAGGGAAATCAATTTCTAAAAAGCGTCTGAGCCCCCCCACCCCCACCCCCACCCCAGCAATACAGTCTTGGTTGCACAACATGACTAGGTGTCGAGACCCTACTACCAAAGACGTCACGAATTTCAGTTTGCAGAGCATGGAGAAATCAGTCTCGCCAAGTCCAGCTGCAGCAGGGTTCAGGTCCCAAAGAGGAAGTGTAGAAGAAAGGGGTGATCCACATTGAGGACTCAGCAGCTCTCTTTCAACCAGAGACTCTTTGTTTATATAGCATGCTGACCACATAGGTCATTAACTATATAAGTCATTTGGCAAGCAACAGAGCCCGGATCTCTTTTTCACTTCCTCACTAAATGTCCAGGGTGAAAAGCAAAGTACAAAACAGACAGTCTTAGCTGAAACAGTATCTTCGGACAGCATCCGTCAAATCAGGAAGTTACACATTTTCCAGGGTCTGCAAAGCGTGGGACTTCCGATTTTTTACAGCCTGTGTCTTGGCTGGCTGCTTATGGGGTTACAATACGTTAGACAGTCTGAAATTATTTTTACCTTAACCAAGTTATATGTAGAGTCATTTGATGTTTCCTAAAATGCAAGCTTTACGAAATAACTCACAATGTGCACTTGACCGGCTGACTATGGGGTTTTTCTGTTCCTCAGTTTTATAGTAGTCTTGCTGTTTTCATTCACTCTCAGAAAGGCCGATTCTGGCATCTCATTCTTTTCCCATCAACCCACACTATTCCTATTTCCTCTATACAGGCTCCAGTGTAGGGCAATGGACATCTTGTATCCAGAGCTGAGCAAGAAATTTCTCAGAATCTACCCTATTGGTACCACAATCCCTGGGGCACAAGGAAGACTTCGTCCTGTGACACTCCTTTCAGGCTATGACCTCCGGTCTTCAAAGTTTTCTCCCGGGTTCATGGATATATCTCCCCAGGGGTTGCATAAACAGAAAACTCCCCATTGCGCAAACAGCCGCTTCTAAAAGCAGAAGCAAAAGCCAGCACACCAGCTACTGAGTCTCTTAGTGAAGTTTCTCTGGAACTTTGTCAAGCAGCGTCCTCCGCCTCAGTAGGACTGAGGCGTCCCTTGTGCTGTGGCCTGCACCACAATCTGGAACTGACCAGGAAACTTCAAGCTTCGATGCGGCCGGAAGGTGCTAGGCAGGCCACTACGGAAGACGAGACACCACAGTGTTAGTTACTCCGGGCTGGACCCTGCATCTACAACGCCGATGAGCAGTGGCGTGGCTATTGGGGGTAACCAACTGCTTTCTGCTTGGATCTGAGGGCTGTTCCTCAGGAGGAAGCATGCCTGATGTGGCAGTCATTGCATGGAGATACATTTTTTCTCTCGTGAAGTTATATCCTGTAAATATGTGCTATTCATTGTACATTGAGTATCCTGAAATAAAGCTGTGATTTTTTAAAAACCTGTAATTTTTAAAAAGTGTTCTACTGGGCTGGAGAGATGGCTCAGAGGTTAAGAGCACTGACTGCTCTTCCAGAGGTCCTGAGTTCAATTCCCAGCACCCATAAGGTGGCTCACAATCTGTAATGAGATCTGGCGCCCTCTTCTGGCCTGTAGGCAAACGTGCAGACAGAACACTGTATACATAATAAATAAATCTTAAAAAAAAAAAGTGGTCTACTAAAGAATTTCTTCTTATCCCTTACAAACATCCATTGATTTCCTGCCTCAAACTATATATCAGTTTGAATCTTTTGATTTTATATAAACAAAATGGTATTTTCCTTCATTCTGTTTCTTTCTTTCTGAGAGAAGATGTCTCTAGGTGGTCCAGCTGTAAACCTGGTGGAAAGCCTGTGGCTGGGAGGACAGAGGCAATCGAGGGGGCCTGTTATTGTCAACTGGTCATGCTGTCAAACTGCCCTCTACATAGTGATGTTTATACCCACAGATTGTGCCACCGCAGGGTGCCCGGGCGTCAGTGAATGGCCGCAGGCTCATGTGCATATTGGCAGCATTGGTTGACTCAATGGCTTAATGAGGAAAGTCACAAAGTTGGGAGGTGGTGCTGAGGATGGTTGGGAATTGGAGAGAGGGAGTGTAGGGATGGGTGTGATCTAAATACACACATGCTATTCCCAAAGAATAATCTTTTTAAAAAAGATCTGGCTGGGCGGTGGTGGTGCACACCCTTAATACCAGCACTGGGAGGCAGAGGCAGGCGGATCTCTGTGAGTTTGAGGCCAGCCTGGTCTACAGAGTGAGTTCCAGGATAGCCAGAGCTGTTACACAGAGAAACCCTGGGGGGTGGAAAAAAAAAAAGATTATGTGGCTCTGGCTCTTGCTGTAAGCAACCTGAGCTGACCTGTGAAAATGGATCACCACTCTCTTGAACCAAAAAACCCTACAAAATTATGTAAATCAAGAGATTCAAATCCTAGTTAAGGACACCTATAAAACTGCCCAGGTATGTATATCCAAAAGCCACCAAGTGTCTGAAAGATGCCTTTAATGAAGCAATGTGCACCGTTGAGGAAGCAGAAGGGTGGCGTCGATACGTGTGCTCAGGGCAAACAATGGGACTGCACACAGGTGGTGGCTGGAAACACTGCTGAGATCTGCTGCGCATGCTTAACGGTGCAGAATAACGCTCACCTAAGGGTTTAGCTGTGGATTCTCCAGGCTTTGAACGTATCCAGGTGGGCAAAGCACCCCTTTTAGAACTCATGATCATATTAACCCATACATGAG